GCCGATGGTACTCAGAACAAGACTCCCGGTCCTGGAGGCCGTACCTGCTCAACTACGCAATTGGGTGAAATTCCGGATATTACGAGCATGCCTTCGACTCTCATTCTTGAACCCAAAAATGGTCAAGTCATGGGAGCCGGAAAACCATTCGATATTAAATTCTTGGTGACCAATATGGATCTCGGGAATTTTGACGATCCCAATACTGAATACAACAGCTTCGGTCAGCAATTGACCAGGGAAGGCTTGATCAAGGGACATTCTCACGTCACTATCCAAGATTTGGGTGACGGTAAGAGGCCTCCAAATGCCGAAAGTGTTGATTTCTTCTTAGGTGTAAACCAGGAAGATAATAATGGGTTGTTAACAGTCAATGTCCCTAATGGTCTTAAACCTGGGTTGAAGAGACTTTGCACAATGTCTGGTAGCTTTTCACATCAACCCTTGGTAATGCCTGTTGCTCAACGAGGTTCTCAGGATGACTGTATCCGACTTTTCGTTAAATAAGTTGGACTTTTTTTTATTTATAGTTATTTTTTTCCGCATTAATTTACTGCAACTAATTTTAACGAGAGTAATATTCTAAAATAGTTTGCATCATACTGGTCATAAACTGACAGTGTGGACTAATTGTTCGTAGATAGTTATAGTTTGTAAAGTAATAAGTAATTAGATCAAAGGTGGAGTTTTTTAATTCAAATGAAACTAGAGCAGTTGTGCCGAGCCGGCCGGCTATGCCAACCGGCGAAGTATAACAATAAAGAATTCATTTCATACTTATTATCTAATGTTTATAATGTATTGTTTTAATGTTGAATTTGAGTTACTTTATTATAAACATAATGATAATATATCAATATTAAATGCAAATTTATTTAATTTAAAAAGTAAATTAAGATGCAATATAAATATCAATATCTTATGGTAAAGTTGTCTGGCTAATTTTTGCAAACGTGTATACTTTTTGATTCATCTTTATGCAAGGAAGCTATGTTGAGGTTGTTCCATGTCGGACAGCGACTAATAGCAACGTATGCTTAGCCTGCAGAAAACATATGACTATCCAGAATTAACGTAACATTAGGTAGTGTAAGACCTTGTGTTTTACGTACTATTAATGCAAATGAATTCTGAAGGGGAAATTGAGTACGTGATGCCGGTTGGCCTGCTGTATGAAAATAAAATGTATAGCAAGTGACCCAACAGTGTATTATTCCATTTTTGACACAAAATGCTACTTGAACAGATAGTGTCTCTTTGTCAAAGTCAATTAGGCAAACATCCTTTTCAATCAAAGAATTGTTTAAAACATTACTCTTGCACCTTGTTGTATATTTGTATATGTAATGATACCGGTAAATTTGTTTTGACTTTGAAGTTGGCCTGTGTTATTTCACTCGGCTGTTGGATATTATTGATGAAATCAAGTGCTTCACAAATTATAAATTCTCATTCTCTACAAACAATGAATTCTTTATGATACGATTTATTTAATCAGCTGTTTGCTTGTAAATACTAATACTGTATAAGCAGTAGTTATGAGAGATAACAGTGAACACTGAGGTTTATAGGCATTTGTTTTTGTAGCAAACTGTTTCGTTAGAAATATTACTAGATTGTATCTCTTCTAGCATTTAATTAAAGTGACTATTTGCTTCATGATGTTTTGGTTGTCTAAGAAAGATGGGTAAAAGAGATGCCAAATAGATGAATAAAAGACATATTGGCCACGCACTGATGTGGTGTGATCGTAACGTATTTGCGACATTATGATATGCCGTGTGTTGATAGTGTAACGTATATGTGGCGTGACGCATGGGCACAGATGTGGGGTAATTGCATTTCTGTTATCCACTAAGTTTGGAATAAGCATTATGAAAAACTAACAACTGATTTGTCCTGACTAGAGCTCACTACGTTTGAGCGAAAAAAAATTGTACGATGGGTCGTTTTTAATTATTTATTTCGTAACATAATAGTAAGATTACGCATCGGATAGTAAAGTGGTTAAATAAATTGAACTATTTAATAATTAACAACTACAAATACAGTACGTTTATGTTTTAATTAACTTGAGAGAAAGAGTTTTAATCCAAAATAAAAAAAAATATGTATTTGACAAATTTACGATTATAAGAAATATGGGAGAAATTTTAATCGATTAATGACTATCTACTTTGGTTTTTTGTTTTTTGATAGTTATTCGTTATCCGAACCAATTTTTTTGGCTGCTTGTCGTTTCTTAATACTGGATGTCGCAATACTTCTTATCGGCTCCTCCTCTATGTTCTTTTTCTTACCCCTCGTAATTTTTTTTGTAGGTAATAATACGTTTGGAGGTTTAGAACTTTGTTCTTTATGCAATGTTTCTGTTCGTTTTGGACGGACGATTAGTTGTAATCGTGCTTTTCGTAGTCCAGGGATTGTAGAAATGGACCAAATTATAGAAGTCCAAAATAATGTACTTAATTAACATTACTGAATTGACAATTATGAGGGTGGCAGTTTAAGTTACAAATGACAGCAGTCTTGCGATACACATCGAGCCGTTGAACAGCTAGTCTTACAACTACATCTAATTTTGATTAAATTGACCAAGTTTTGAGCCGAAGCAACTTTATTATTTGACAGAATGCGCTAAGTTAGTAATTGTTTTTATACTTGTGGACAAATACAATTGTGAGTAAACATCGCTTGATTTGACGTATCATTGTGAAGGAATGCTTTGAGTACAGAATACGTTAGCGAATAATCCTTCTATTGTGCGGAGATGTAAATATAAATGTGAATAAACATCGCCTGAATATCATTGTGAAGAACGCTCCGAGTTGCAGAGTACGATAGCGAATAGTTCTATTTGTGCGAGGATGCAAATAAGTAAACATTTATTGTGAATATGCTTGAGTTACTGAAAACGTTAGTGAGAACTGAAAAACGAGAGCATTAAAATGGCGTAATAAAAACAGTGGCTCGGCACATCATTGTGAAATATGTTTTGAGATACAAAATACGTTAGCGATATTCCTTTGATTTGTGAGTAAATATCGCCTGACGGACATTATCATTGTGAAGAGTGTTGAGTTACTGAATACGCGTTAGTAAATTTTTCCATTATACTCAAGACTTAATCGTCTCGGTTTAAGCTTAAGGTGTGCCACACGCACATCTAGTCAACCAACTTGCCAACCAAATTTGGGCTAAACTTTCGGACAGATCGTGTAAAAGTTAATAATCTTTAGTTTAAGCGACAAACAGAATGGTGGAACAGCAATGTACTGCTCACTATCACCATTGTTATCTATTGCTTGACGGTTTGAGTTATCAAACGAGCCTGCGCTAATCATGCAATTTGACGGTTGTGTGGGTTTTGCCGAAGGATTTAACCATACGACTTGTGGTTTCTGTATGTCCACAAATTGTCGAATAATTTGATAATAAATATACTCAACATTTAGAATTTGTCAATACTACACGTACGCTTTATCGAACTTTTCAATTACACCTCATTGATTTTGTGTCCTTTATTAGGCGCATTACACCTCATTGAATGAGTAGTTGAAGATAATTAGCAGAATTCACACTACTTTCACTAATCTTCGGCATTGGCATAGAATTGTGCAGTTTTTGTGGGAACAAACATTATTTGATCACATGTGTGTTATACGATTTTTCTTGTGACAGCGATACATGCAATGTCTTCCGATATTTTATGTATGTAAACGCGAGTTTGGGGATTTGACAGAGTTACATTGTGATATGATTACAGTGCAGTAATTTGTTTACTTGTATCGTGAGATAAGTTTTGAGCATATACGAACGATATAATATAAAGACGTCATACAAGTGATAATATCACAAGTTACTTCGCTTATATATTATTATTATATAGATTATTTATTCCTTATTATTATGCTAAAATTTTACAAACGTTAAAAGAGCAAACTCAATTGTTTATACGCAAGTAGGGTTGATATCGTAATGCCAATAAATGATATTAATAGCATCATTGTCACCATTAATTATAATGCCAACCATCCATTAATACCATCATAGTCAGCACTGCTACCATCAACATTAAATAATATAAGAAATAGACTTGGTATTGGTGTGAGGGGAACTAGTACTATTATGATAATCAATAGTGTGGAGGAGATTAAGATGTTAGCATGGATAGGCAGCATAGACATTATCACTTTCCTTCAGACACCTCAAATTGAATTGTTATGGAGCAAGTTATTGATATGGGAGGGGGGTATCAATGACACAATTCAGACTCATGTCCCTGGCATCCATATCAATGTCATTAACAACAACAGCAAAAGGGCAGTGAATTCTCATCCAGACTTTGTATGTCTCATCCATAATGTCATTAACAACAGCAGTGCCTCTGGCACCTTATATTATTACTCAGCATCCATATTAATATTAATACTCCTGGCCATCAGCAATGTCATCACCAATCAAGCATGAAAGTGGAGCTGTCATAGAATATAAATAGGGAGGATTTCAATGGTAGGGACAATAAGTAGGGGGAGGGAGCTCATCATATCCAGAAAGGTTTGGAAAGCTACTGGGATGGACAATAATGTATGAACTTCCTGGACTAATGTGGATTCCTGTATATGTACTTGTGGCATTACTTCCATAAACATTTTTTCATGTCAACATACCATTCATTCCATGTTATGATAATGAGGAGTCCTAATCAACTCCATCTGCAAATGGTGCATTTCCTTATCCATCTGTGAGACTGAATGTGAAAATACAATTGCTTTAAGGACTTTTTTGGGTGAGAAGTGACAATTATTATTATCATGTCATTGTGATTGTTATGACATTCACACAATATTGCTATGTTCCTACCAACCTAACTGGAATGGGCTTTTCTGCACACATTTCTTCTTATATTTTTCTAAAGAATACATTCATAACATCATGTCATTAATAGACAAACTCAACAACCCTCACATGAAATTTAAAGCTATTAACTAATCACAGTAAAGACACAACCTAAAATTCTTTTGTAAAGATAGAACCCATGCATTAACAATCAAATGAAAATCCTCAGTTCACTCATAAAAGATATTTCAACAGCTAAAACATAATACACTTATTATATTCTAGAGACTATTTCAAAGCAACAGTATGTTTAGTTTCTTTCTTCTATATATGAAAAATGGGAGTTTAGCAACTGTGTGGAAACATCCCATAATGTTAATACCTT